GGGGGGGGGGGTGGAGGACGACACACACACAAACATTCAGTCCATAACAGGGCAAACTTACAGTCTAAAAGGGTCACTTTCAGGAGAAAACTCACCCAAATTGGAGCTTAAAGGACCTATTACAGCTAAAGAAGCAGAAAGGTCTGGTGACATAGCAGTATCTCCCTAATATGCTTCCTTCTCAAACAGTTGGGCTGATTAGAGACTTTAGCTTTCCGAAGACCAAACAGAACTCTGAAATAATCTCATCATCTGAACCAGCCCGGCACTCCACCCTACCCTCCATCAGCAGTAATAGAGTTTCATCCAATTATTGTCTTTGGAGATTTTTCTAACCCTTTATCTAAAAGTTTTAAGAAAAAAAAAAATAGAGAGAGAAGGCTGACCTGAGGACATCTTGTTTTTAAACTAAGGAAATGTTTTGTTTTCATTGTAAAAGTGACCATAACCCCAAAAGAAAGTTTGGAAAACATAAAATAGTACCAAGAGAGAAAAACCATTGAGTCTGACTGCAAAATAGTAATATACTTCATATATTTCCTTTAGTCTGCTTTCTGTTTTTTGGTTTTTCTTGTTGGTAGTGGTAATGGTATTGCTGCTATTATTTCTTAGAGCTATACTTATAGCATATTTACAATTTTGTATCCTGGTTATTTTTTCTACTTTACCATTAGTAGGGAATTTTTTTACTATACTACATAAGCTCCAAAACATTTTGTTTAATAAAATTTACTTTGGCATAATTTTAGATTGACAGATAAGTTTCAGCTGTAGTCCAAAGAATTCCTGTATACCCATCACCCAGTTTCCCTGCATGCTGATGTCATATATCATAGTATATTTTTCAAAACTAAGAAATTAATATTGATACATCACTACTAACTAAACTACAGATTTTACCACTTTTTCTAGTAATGTCGTTCATCTGGGGAGCCATTTTTAAGACTATTTATTGTTGAACATTAAAGATTTCTTTTTAACTTTTTAGCTTTTGTAAAATAGGTGAACCATGGCCACGATAACAACAGAAATAATAGTAGTCTTATTATAACTATCTCACCAATAGACAGTAAGTTTTAATTAGTGCTAAAAAATATAGAAAAGGCTGCTTACCTCCACCCACACCTGACAGTAACATGGAGCCTGTGCTGGTATCAACAGAGGCTGAAAGGGGAACCAAGACTTCTACCCCACCTAGTAGAGATGAGACAGTGTCCCCATCTCCTCTGCCAGAAGAGTGTCAGGCAAAGCCAGCTAACACAGAAGTTTAAATCAGATCTCAAGTCTCAATATAGTATGAAAATGTGGATTTCAATAAAAAATTATTCATTCCCCAAACCAGAAAGATTTAAAACTGAATGAAAAAAAGACAATCGATGGATGCCAACACAGAGAAGAGATGTTAAAATATCTGAGAAAAATTTTAAAGCAGCCACAATAAAAATGCTTCAGTTGGTATTTACAAGCACTCTTGAAACATGAACTAATATAAAATATGAACTCAACAAAGAAATGAAAAATATAAAGAAGCAAATATAAATTTTAGAACTGAAAGATGCAATAACCAAAATAAAGAGCTCAGTGGATAGGCTCAACAGCAGAATGGAAGGGTCAGAGGAAAGAATCAGTGAACTGGAACACGGAACAATAGAAATTATCCAGTCTGAACAACAGAAAGAAATAGACTGGGAAAAAAAACAGAGCCTCAGAAACCTTGAGAACTAGTTAAAGATCTAACATTCATGTCACTGGAGTCCTGGAAGGAGAGGAGAAAGAAGGCAGAGCTTAAAAATTGCTGAAAGAAATAATGGTTGAACAATTCCCAAACTGAACATAATGTAACATAAACTTAACAGATTCAAGAACCTAAACAGCAACAACAACAAAACCGAGGATAAACCCAAAGAAACCCGCACCAAGACACTTCATAATTAAACTTCTGAAAATTAAAGACCTATAGGAAAAAATCTTGAAAACAGCCAGAAAAAAATGACACCTTGCCTGTAGGGGAAAAATAACCTGAATAACAGATTTCTCATCAGAGACCATGGAGGCCAGAAGGAAGTGACACAATATTCTTTCAAATGCTGAAAGAAAAAGCTGTCAACCCAGACTCCTATACCCGACAATATATCCTTCAAAAATTAAAGGGAAATCTAGATATTCTGAGATGAAGAGAAACTAAGAGAATTTGTTAACCAACAGAACATCCCTACAAGTATGGCAAGGATATGTTAAAAGAAGAAATCTTGAAACATCATAAAAGAAGAAAGAACATGGTAATTTTCACAGAGTCAGGTGTAGAATGATCTGCCATTCACCCTGGTTTGTGGTGCTGCTGCTTTTATCAGACCATATTTTCAAGTGTTTCACGTGGAACCAGAGAACCTAGGTGCAAATCCTGTTCCTACCAATTACCAGATGTGATTTCAGGCAAGTGCTTCAGTCTCCTCAAATACAAAATGGGAATAATAACAGCATCTACTTCTTGGGCTGTTGGAAAGAAACACGAGCTTAGGATCGCCTGGCACAGGTTAAATGCTTGTCAGTGTTATCAATCTGTTAAGCTAGTCTTATACTAAGAACCATGAAAATGTTAATGATACTGTTTTGTACTTTAATATCACATAGGGCAATCCCCATTCATCAGTAATTTTTTATAAATATAGTTATTTTCATTCTTCTATATAAACTCTGGAACCATTTTATTAAGTTGAAAATATTGTTTATACTTTGATTCTAAGTTGTGATAAACCTGTAAGTGAGTTTGGAGTGAATACACATCTTTAAAATATTCAGTCATTTCATTCAAGAGCATAGCATTTCTTTTCTTTTACCATAATTTACCTCATATCTCTCAGTAAATGTTTTGTAGTTGTTGTTTAGGCTTCAAACATTTTTGGTAAGTCAGAAGGTGCGGTAATTAAACAGGTGGGCTCTGCCAATTCCACCCCTAACTGTGATCTACTGGCACTGGAGATCTTCATGCCTGTTTCTCTCCTATAAAATGCTATAATAAGACAGTTTACTGTAGGGCTTGATGGAGAGTTTATGTTCTGCATGTATGAGTTGCAGTTATTGTCACTGTGAGTGGAAATCACCCTCCCCCTTATATCTTCTAACTAGTTACTGATCACTCATAGAGAATCCATTGATCTCTAAAGCACTTCAAATTCAAATAAAATTTGAACTTATCAAAATAAATTTAGGCCTAGAATGTAGGCTAGGAAAACAAAACATGATTTTCCCATCCCATACTCCCTGCCCCATCCTACCTGAAATTATCTTCATTGTTTTTGTAAAAATGAAGGATGTTTGTGCCTCCTATTTTTAATCCCTTTGTTTACTGCTGTGAAACTGGTACATTATGTATATTTATTTCCATTATTTCCTTTAGGTAAATTTCTAGAAATGAAATTCCTGGGTTACACGGTATACCTTTTCCTATGAGCAGTTTTAATTTCCTTTCCTCAGATATGGTTCTAATAACTACTGGGAGTGGAGGGAATATGAGAAGAAAGAAGGTAAAACATAAACATACCCTTTGGGCATCCAATTTTTGAAAAATGTTCTTGTATGTAATGATATTCAATTAAATACTAAAATTCAATTAGATACTAATAATCCAAAATATTTTAAATGTTACTAGAGGCAATAAATCCCAACAGGTTAGAACTACTACTGCTATACTTAAAACTAAGTAAAACTCAGTAACTGGGTAAAGAGGCTCAATCGGCATCACAAATCACATCTGTAGC